AAAAGCTCTTTCCACATTCAACATCTCAGGCTGTGGGAGAAACAAGCTCTGCAGATGCTAACAGGATCTTCAAAGATACTGAAAACTTATAGGACATGTCCAATTCTTGCCTTTCATTTAGTTAATAAAATCCATAATGGGTCTATATCTATATTAGCTTTTAATGTCTTTGATGCAGCTTTAGAATTAAATTTTTAAGCCGCAGTTCTAAAAACAAACTATATTACATAATTGATTCATTGGTTATCAATCTGATTCCTTATCATTTATGTTCGAGTCTTGATGCATCGATCATTAGTTAATTTCCTCAGCTCTAACACACCGCTGCACTTCTGGAATGATTCCGGGGTGTAAATAAGCAGTTGAAATTGCATCGTCGCAGCAGTCTTTTATTTTGGAAAATTACTGGATGTATGCCTGGCAGCCTGCCCCCCAATTTTATTTGCACCCTAAACACTTCCACCAATGACATTCCACGTAAACACACACTTAGGGCCTTGGGAGTGAGCACACTCAACGCATTTGGCAAGGGGATCTTTGAGCCTCATCCCGAGGGCCGGTGCCCACTTCCAATTTGAAACTGCACTTAGACACAGAGAGCTGTGGGGGGAAGTGGGGTGGTGTGGTGGCATCAGCTGGCATGGGCCAGACGATGCCCACACTGCCAGCTCACCACAGCCATGGAATACACCTCATCAACACACTTACACTGTATCGGAGCAGGTGGAGGGAGACTAGGGGTCTTGGCACACCTCTGTTGTCGCTTGGCTTTCCAGGGCTGGAGGCTAGGAGGGGGAGTTGGTCGTCTGGTTGGGGTCTTGGGTGGTGGGATGTTTTGCCCGGCGCTGGGCGGGGGAGCCTGCTCATCAGCACCCCAGCAGAAAGGGGCTAACTCTGGGAACCGGTGATGGTTGTATCCCTTGTCTTTTTTTTATCAGGCGTGACATTAAAGAAGCTTTGATGCTCCACCTGAGAGTAAATTTGTAAGGCTTGTCACCAGCATTCAGACATCAATTCTGTTTACTTCACAACAAGACATGACACGGGAAAAAAAAAAAGAAAATTACTAGAGGTTTTACACCGAAACATATGATTTCCTGTCTAGCCCTGTCCGTTAACTGCGGAAATTGACGTGTCCCAGGAGCAGCACGCAGGGAAAATTGAATCTGATCCTATCTTTAGGGCCAAAACGAGCAGCTTCAGGGACGTGCCTGAAAATTTCCATGTCACAGCTACAGGTGCTGGCCAGTAAATTAGAATATCATCAAAAGGTTGAAAATATTTCAGTAATTCCATTCAAAACGTGAAACTTGTACATTATATTCATGCAATGCACACAGACCAATGTATTTCCGATGTTTATTACGTTTAATTTTGATATTCATAAGTGACAACTAATGAAAACTCCAAATTTGGTATCTCAAAAAATTAGAATATTCTGAAAAGGCTGAATATAGAAGACACCTGCTGCCACTCTAATCAGCTGATTTACTCAAAACACCTGCAAAGGCTTTTAAAAGGTCCCTCAGTCTTGTTTTGAAGGCACCACAATCATGGGGAAGACTTCTGACTTAACAGCTGTCCAAAAGACAATCATTGACACCTTGCACAAGGAGGGCAAGACACAAAAGGTGATTGCTAAAGAAGCTGGCTGTTCGCAGAGCTCTGTGTCCAAGCACATTAACAGACAGGCGAAGGGACGGAAAAAATGTGGTAGAAAAAAGTGTACAAGCTCTAGGGATAACCGCACCCTGCAGAGAATTGTGACGACAAACCCATTCAAAAATGTGGGGGAGATCCACAAAGAGTGGACTGCAGCTGGAGTCAGCACTTCAAGAACCACCACGAGGAGACTCATGAAAGACATGGGATTCAGGTGTCGCATTCCGTGTGTCAAGCCACTCTTGAACAAGAAACAGCGCAAGAAGCGTCTCGCCTGGGCCAAGGACAAAAAGGACTGGACTGATGCCGAGTGGTCCAAAGTTATGTTTTCTGATGAAAGCAAGTTCTGCATTTCCTTTGGAAATCAAGGACCCAGAGTCTGGAGGAATAGCGGAGAAGCACAGAATCCACGTTGCATGAGGTCCAGTGTAAAGTTTCCACCGTCAGTGACGGTGTGGGGTGCCATGTCATCTGCCGGTGTTGGCCCACTCTGTTTCCTGAGGTCCAGGGTCAATGCAGCCGTCTACCAGGAAGTTTTAGAGCACTTCATGCTTCCTGCTGCTGACCAACTTTATGGGGATGCAGACTTCACCTTTCAACAGGACTTGGCACCTGCACACAGTGCCAAAACCACCAGCACCTGGTTCAAGGACCATGGTATCCCTGTCCTTGATTGGCCAGCAAACTCGCCTGACCTTAACCCCATAGAAAATCTATGGGGTATTGTGAAGCGGAGGATGCAATACGCTAGACCCAACAATGCAGAGGAGCTGAAGACGACTATCAGAGCAACCTGGGCTCTCATAACACCTGAGCAGTGCCACAGACTGATCGAGTCCATGCCACGCCGCATTACTGCAGTTATTGAGGCAAAAGGAGCCCCGACTAAGTATTGAGTGCTATACATGCACATTCTTTTCATGTTCATTCTTTTCAGTTGGCCAACATTAGAGAAACAAACATTTTTTCATTGGCCTTTAGAATATTCTAATTTTCTGAGATACCAGATTTGATGTTTTCATTGGTTGTCACCTATAAATATCAAAATTAAA